CACCGCGGCTGACGGGCAGGGCCTTGGCCCGCGGCGGGTCCGTCTGGGCGCCGGCTGGCGTTGGCCCTGCGGGACATGGGGAAGCTTCCAGCACCTTCTCACAGAAGGCACCCTGCAGCCCCCCCGCTACCAAACCCTTGCCAAGCAAACCCAATACATAAAGGCAGCCTTTACTTTATGTAATATTAACACAATATTAGAATTCCTTCAGTCTGACTGTAATAGTCATCATTATTTTACTTATTATTCATCAGAAATTGTGTCTGATCTTTCCATACTTAAAAATTGCCAAACCTGTGTGTGTTTTGACAGAAGACAAGGTTTCTGTCTGGTAACTATAGTAATCAAAGTGGCATAAAGATTTAGGTTTTTTCGCTTTTCTTTTTTTTACAGTTTGGTTGAAGGGACCAATTCACAGCATCAGCAAGTCATGCCACAGACAGTTCTTCTGAAGACCTTTTGGCGTGAAAGCAAAAGCTCAGTGCTTTTTACCAAACACATAAATATTCTAGCAGATTGGGTCATACTATCCCATAGAGAATTGGACAGAGAAAATGATGTGAGTATGAATTTTATACTTTAAAATAATGAAGACCGACATATTTTTTAAAGGCACGCCTTTGTTCATTCCTTTGTGAGGAATTATATGTAAGTATCACAGCTGCTTGTTATAGCTGCCTTTTGTTGTGAAGCATGCTGGTTTTTGCTCCACTAAAGGAAATGAATTGATCCATAAGATTCTCATATTGATCTGCAGAGAAGAAACGAGTCATGAGTAGCTTGTTGGCTACATTCAGATGTTCACATGCCCTTACCAGCAGGTATTACTGTAGTCATTAGGGACACCAGCTTAACACATCCTGTCAAACAATAAGGTGTAACGAAAGAGGTGATTATCTGATTTCACAGTGATTGTATTCAGGAAATGTTGGAAGGAGAAAGCTAACAAAACTAATAGTTTTTTTCTGTTTTCTGCAGATATGCATTATTTTATTTTAATAAATGCCCCAGTTTTCTTCCCAAGTCCTTTAGTTTCATTTGGTATCTTCCCTAGGTCTTTTCATAAAAATGGAATTGAAGGCAACTTAATTGCTGTTCTGTGACCTGCTGACCAGCAGGACATTGACCTGAAAGATACTGAGTGTCCTCTATACCACCTCTTTCTTTTCAGAAGCTAGAGGCCTTGTAAAACATCTTTGACTTCTAGATTCTCACATAAAATACAAACTTACTGCTGTCTCTGCGTTCTCTTTTAAATTATTGTGAAAGCACAGAATAAATAGGTACTTCATTCACTTTTTCAATACAATAACAGAACAACAATAGAAAATCAAGTATTCCAGAGAAGAAAGCACTTTCAATATAATACCTGGTAGTTCTTCATTATGTTAAGAAAGCAGAAAGATTAAACATAATGAGAGCTTCACTCATCTTACCTAGCCAGACCTCCTACCTTTTTTGAGGGCTATCAAAGCAAGGCATTCTGAAACAGTGCTGCCTTTTATCCTTGGTCAAGATATTAAAAAAGTGCCTAAAATTAGGCTTCTATACCCATATTTATATTTAAACAACCTACCTTTTCAAAAGTACTGAGCACCAAGCAGGCTTGCATTCAGTTGGTGTCAGTGGCCATTCTGTTTCTTTGGAAAATGAGACTGCTTTCATATGTTTCCTGGTGTTGGATCTGCAGTTAAGGGTAGGCACCATTTTCTTTTTTCTACTATGCCTTCTTTTGACAAGTTCCACCACTGTAAGCCATACCTTTTTCATAAACCATTCTTTGCATAAGCAGAATAATCACTTCTGTCAGACAGTGTAGTACATATATGAAAAATAAACTTAAAAGAGAGAAAAAAAAACATAAAGCATAGAAGCCTACCTCTTGTTTAGATTCTGTTTTCTTTATATAAATGTATGTAAGAATTGTACTTTCAGCACAAAACCCAGATGCCTCTTGCTTTCCCACTTTGATCTTATGCATTGTAATGTACAATATCCCTGCAGATATGAATTCTAGCCTTAAAAAGCAGATTGTTCACTCATAATATCTGTAGTCTTGTATGTTCCTTCTTACAACCTTATTCTTTAACCTCATATTTATATATTACATTTTCTTTACATTTGCATTTTTTACCAAAAATAAACTCTAAAACAAAATACCATAGTTTTACATTCAAAGCTTGTCATCATGTCTTTCTGCACTCTTTAGTTTTGTTATACTAAAACTTGATACACTGATTCTTCCATCTATTCAGGGACTCCATTTCGAATTCCATGACACAGCTGAAAAGGTCATTCAGAAAGCCAAAGGATCAGATAGATCCTCCCCAGCTCTGTGGGCAGAACTGTCTTTTCTTTTCTCCTATTTTTTTACTATTTTAGAGATGCATAGATAAAACCACAGTATTTCCATGTCATTAAATGTAGCATATTGGGTGCAAAATTTTCCTTCCTGTCTTCAATTTAAGGGTGTGAGTCATTCTTACCTGTTTTGGTTTTTAAAAGCTGTTTGCTTAAGAGGCAACACATTGGCAAGAAACGCATAAGACCATTCAGGAAATTAAAAAAATTTAAAAAATTAAAAAAAAAAAAAAGAAGAATGATTGGATATTCTTAGTATCTTACAGAAATTAAATGTTTTATACCACAGTGTAAAGGGGTGACCATGTTTCTGGGCTTACACAAGCATATTAGATTGTGGGAAGAAACAAACATGCCAATTGTGATATACTAAAGTTCTGGGCAATTCTCTAGTACAATTATCTGTAAATAAAAACAGGTGAAATTAATTTTTTTTTTTTTTTTTTTTTTTTGGCATATCTAACACATTCTTTTCTAAGTGGTAAATGTTAGCAATTAGTCTTTGTTTTTTCACTTTTTAGAATCAGATTATATTTTTTGGTGATTCAAAGAGATGGCAACAAATCAGCACTAGAGTGGAGAAAAAATGTCTGTTTCCTCTCTTATAGTGCTGATTTGTGACAAAATTACAGGGGTTTTATATGTGTCTCTTGTGTCTTTGTGTAAAAAGAGCAATCCAGAAATAGTTGCACTATTCTAGGTGAGAAAATCCATGCTGGAATTGTGAGTTAGTGGTTTCCTTGGTTTACATACTCTGAATGCATTTCACTTTTCAGGCCTATTGAAAGAAAAAGAAAGAAAGAAGTGCTATAAGGACTCAAGTTACATATATGAGTGCATTTGCTTTCTTGTGTTAAGATAGAATTTATCTTAAAAGTACCAGAATAAAATTAGTGACAGGAAATTGGATGCCCTCACTCATCGTTGTGTCAATCTGCTGGGACAGCTTGGTGGAATAAAACTGATACACTATCCTTGTAGTTAAAAATGCACTGCCAAAGAATACTGGAGTTTTTCATTCACTTAAAATCTTCAGTACTGAATATAATTTTAATATAAATAACATTTATTATTTATTATTTAAATAGGTTTGATGCAGAAACTTCTGGTCAAGTTTCCTTGAATCAAAGCTGTTAATTAATTTTTAGAATTTACAAAGGAACATGTGTATTTCTTGTAACAGTTTGAGTAGCGTTGAGCAGTTGCATGGCTTTTCACGGTGTCACAAATGGTATCAGAAATGCTTTTCATCCCTGTTACTACTGGTGGGTTTTTTTAAAAAAAAAGCTGTCTAACATAGCCTGACAAAGGAGTGAAAAAGGCATTCTTAGCTGCATTTAGCTGCACTTAAATGCATTTTTAGTTGCATCATCTTGCACATTTCTAATTTGTTTTCTTCCGTGTTTCAGGTTTCATTATCTGGTACGAATTTGTGTGGTGTCAGTTTGTAGAACTGAATGTCTTTCTGGTCTATCTGTCACTTCCATTAGCTTTCTTGGAAGTATGTTTTAGGCACTGTTGGAGTACTGCATAACCCTAAAAACACACCACATGAAAAAGAACTCTAAAGAACAACTCTAAAATAACTCTGTAATTCAAAGTGAAAAAGTTAAAATGAATTTTCCAATGACTTAAAAGCTTTCCTATAAGAACTTTTATGTGTACTAAAGCGCACTGTGAAACTTCTGTCACTGTAGCACTGTACTTGACTTGGCAAAGCTTTAAATGGAACAGCAATGTAGGAATTGCATTTGCTAAGCTGGCAGACATCAGTTGTACTGATGTGACCTTTGTATGCTAACACAGTCAACAGCCTCTTCCCACTTCAGCGCTCTTCTCGGTGAGATAGCTTTGATTCTCAACAATAAGAACAAGGAACAGAGTTTTGAAAAAAGGTTTAACCAGATCTTGCTTAATTTGCTGTGCGTGGTGTCATGGGTTGACCTGAGCTGGCACGTAAGTCCCCACCCAGCCGCTCGCTCACCCACCCCTCAGCAGGATGAGGGAGAGAACTGAAAGGGCAAAAATGTGAAAACTCATGGGTCGAGGTAATGACAGTTTAGTAAGTGAAGCAAAGCAAAACAAGGAATTCATCCAGCACTTCCCATCAGCAGGCAGATGTCCAGCCCCTTCCTGGGAAGCCGGGCTCCGTCACGCATAGCGGTTCCTTGGCAAGGCAAACGCCAAACCCCCAATGTCCCCCTTCCTCCTCCTTTCCCCAGCTTTTGTTGCTGAGCACAGCATTGACATGGCACAGAATATCCCTTGGGTCACTTGGGGTCAGCTGTCCTGCCTGTGTCCCCTCCCAAGTTCTTGCCCACCCCCAGCCCACTCGCTGAGGGGGGCAGAGTGGGAACAAGACAGCCCTGGTGCTGTCACACATGGTGACATTTCCCCTGTTTAATGGAAGTGCTTGCTTCTTTTTCCTTTTTAAGATTGCATGTGTTTTCGTTATTATGCTTGTTTTGTGGTTGAAAATGAAAATATTATTAAGATGTTGTAGTGGTTGGAGCACAGAGGGCAACTGAGCATCAAGCTGCGGCTTGCTCGCTCTTTCCCCTCAGGAATAGGAAGGAGAAAATAACACAAAAGGCTCAGGAATTCAGATAAGGACAGGGAGGGGTGACTCACCCGTTATGGTTACAGGCAAAAACCAGACTTGTTAGGGGAAGGAAAAGAACATCAGTTAAACTTAAGGGTTGCACTGACCCAGTGCTGAGGGATCTGGTGGAGTTGGGAACGGTCAGGGTGAGGTTCATGTTTGGACTGGAGGAGCTGCAAGAGCTTTTCCAACCGAAATGATTCTGGGGTTCTGTAATTCAAATACCACCACCACTTAACAAACCAAGTAGGGCAGTGATAAGCCTCACCACATCTTAAAAAAAACACCTTCCCCCCACCCCTCCCTCTTCCCGGGCTCACTTTGCTCCCGATTTCTCTCCCTGCTCTGCCCCAGCGGCGCAGGGGGATGGGGATGGGGGTTGTGGTCAGCTCCTCGCCCGCTGTCTCTGCGGCTCCTTCCTCCTCAGGGGAGGACTCCTCACCCTCCTCCCTGCTCCAGCGTGGGCTCCCTCCCACAGCACAAGTCCCACACATCATAGTCCTCTCAGCGCTGAGCTGCAACACTGGGGTCTTCTCCCTGCAGAGTCCGGCCTTCTCCGGGCACATCCCCGGCTCCAGCGTGGGCTCCTCCGCAGGCTGCAGGTCAGCATCTGCCCACCAGTGACCTCCACGGGTCCCTGAGGGGAGTCTCTGCTCCAGCACATCACCCCCTCCTCCTCCTTTCTTCCATTAACTTCTGTGTTTGCAGAGCTGTCCTCCTTGCAACTCCTCCCTACAATTCCCAACTCCCCCTCCCTGGTTCCCCTTCTTAAATACGTTATCACAGAGGCGCAGCTGCTGTCGCTAATTGGCTCAGCCTTGGCCAGAGGTGGCTCCAACTTGGAGCCAGGGGAGCTTTGAGAAGCTTCTTTCAGGGGCCACCACTGTAGCCCCCTCTCCCGCTACCAAAAAATCCCATCACACACCCAAACCCAACACAGATGTTAATACTTAAATGTTTTTAGAACAGATACTTTCAGCAAATTAGAGCGTTTCCCCCTCATTTGTAGCACTGAGTCACTTATTTCAAAATATGAAGGAGAAGTTCTTGGTTTGTTCTACTGTTGTTTTACCAAAACATCAGCCAAGCCTATAGCAGTTGGCAGTGTCTGGTTTATCTTTGTCAGCATGCAGAGGTAGCTGAGAAAATGGAGTTGCATCCAGTGTTTCAGCCACGTTTAATATGCAGCTTTGTATCTGACTGCAAAACATTAATACTGGCAGGATTAACAGTTGTTATTTCAGTCTGCTGCCTCAAGGTCAGTTTTTGCTCCCCATCGCTTTCCTTGAAAAAATGTAGATGACGTAATATAAGCATGTGATTTAGAAACAAGAAAAAGACTGTAAATATTTGTGTTTTGCATCTGTATCTACCTCAGATTACATCTATGCGTACATGGTCCTGTCACTTACCTCTGTTAAAATCGTGCTTATTTGCAGCGTTTGTGTAAATTATTTGCTATAACAAACTATTGATGGAATTAAATCATTCACCCACTATTCTGCTGGGTGAATGTACATATTCCGCTCAATTTCCCTTTTATCCAAAAATGTCCAGTTTGAATTACTCATTCCCTTTCACTAGTACGCGGTATATCACCTGGTGCTCTAGCGTAACAATAGTGATACTCGGGTAGAGCCTTAGGTAGGTGTCTTTGGGCACATGAATTTCATCTGTTCCTACTGTGGTGCACAGTCTTCCAGTTTGCGCTTTGCAAACTGTCATACAAACACTGAACTTACCATGGTTGTACATGTGGTCAGAGGATTAATTTATTTCAGGATTGTTGCATAGAATATTTGATGCCTCCTGAAGAATATATGCTTGGCTTTTTTTATCTACACATGACCATTTTGTGCATGTTTAGGGAGAAAAAAGTTAGAGTAATACCTATAAGTATGCTCCTAAATTTGCAACTGCTAGTCTCTTTGGAATTTTGGGGAGCAGAAGAAAGTTTCCTGATCCCAGAAATTGGCTGCCAATGTGCTGACCCTTTCGGCACAGACACGCGATTAGTCGCAAAAGGAGTTTTAAAGTAATGATGAAATCTTTAGGAAAAGAGAATCCTAATAGAGCAGGGAGAATAAGATCCCTATAATTGTCAAATTAAACACAAGGTTAACTAGCATAAATGCAATACTTGAAATCTTACAGTTAAACAAAACCTAATTTAAAAAGAAATCATGCTTCGTACTTGCAAGCTTTGGTCCCATCTTGCATGTTGTTTTAGACAGGATGTTTTCAAAAACCTTGTGTTTCTCCAATGCCGTATCTTAATTGATGGTGACATTAATGGCATATTAATTTTGTTGACCCGGCTGCAACAGTTAGCTTTTAAGCAGAAAAAGTAGAGCCGGTGAAGAAGTGATGTGGCAACAGCTTCTTTTATCTGAAGAAGTTCTCTAGTGTTATTACTGGTACATTATCAGTGTTAATTTGTTATACAGTACAGACCTACAGATACTCTTATTTTCATTTAGGCCTTCAGATGTGAATTAACTCATCTATTAGACGGAATTCTTGGAACTGTAGTGGAATATTGGATCGTCTCAAGTTTGCTTATGGACAGAAACGAGTTTCATCAAATAGCTGAAGATTTGTCACAGCACCTTGCCCTTTCGTGTGATGGTGAGTGTTTGAAAGGCCTCTCGGAGTCTTGTAAGCAGGTACACTAAATTCCTAACTGAAAACCATCAGTTTACTTTCAAGTTGCATTGTACCTTCTGTGTCAGCCATGCAGTCTTACAGTGTCTTGTGTATGCGTGCAGTAAACTTCTGTTGGGTGTATGAGTCTGTCTGTCTGTCCACCCCAAGCAAAGACCAAATAGAACAGGCTTTCTTATTAAAAACACTCTAAATAAATCTGAAGAAGTGTTGGTGCACAAGCAAGACAAGCAGTTTGAAGAAGAAAAAAAAATCTTGGAAGATCTCCTGTCAGTTTAGGCCGAGCTTTAGGCATGTCATAGTAACCATAACTTCAGAGAGGCAACACCTTAGCTCAGGCCAGTTCTCAGGTGAAATCTATCACTCCACAAACTTGATCATGTTTGCTAAAAACACTTCAGCCATTAATCCAAAAGCTACGCTGAACTCTTTGACCCATACAGATTTCAAATGAAATATTTCAGTGTCTCATTCCAAATCCTTAGACTTAATGGACTTTATTTGGGGGGTGGGGGGAAATTTCAGTTTGTCCCATAAACCACTATTGTTCCTGTTTATTAACAATACTAGATAAAAGAAATGTTACAACTTACCATTTAGCGTGGAATGTCACTTGAGGTATTGGTCCTTTTAGCAACTAGAGGATGAGGAGCTGAAAATGCCAAAAAAATAATCTCAAGAAAACTACTGAATGTTTTAAATTTCATTGTCAAACTGAATTCTCACCAGAACTGCTCTTCTTTTTTTCTTTTTTTCCCCTATTAGGAAAGAGTGGGAAAACTGTAACTCAGGTGTTACACCTGTATGGGTATCGTGGTTTCAGGCACCGTTTTCTCTAGAGATAATAGGCTTCATTTAAAGTGTATCTTCCCTCTTCTAGCTGGACACTTGTAAAGAACTATCCTGAAAAAAAGTACAATAAAATCTTAGTCTCTGAACAAATAGTTCCACTCCAGTCTTAACAGAAAGCAAATTTTCAGGACTTTATAACCTGCCTTAGATCTTTGAAGGCCAATTCATTTGGAACTTTGTAGTATTTAAATCAATGGAGCTTTTAGCTTCTACTACTATTGCCACCTCTCCAAAAGAGTTTCTATCTTTCATATAATAGAGAGAATCTTGGATATGTATTTCTATAAGACTTACTTTCCTGTACACAAATGGAAAATTAGACATTCTGTGCTCTCCTTCATTGAGAGCATTCAGGAGAACAGCATTCACAGTCTGGTTATAAAGAGTAAAGATTCTTTGACCTATTGGTGATCACTGCTGCTTGGTTCATTCCACAGCACTTAAGGCCCAAAAAACTGTTGCAGAGTTCTTCTAAATTCTGTCTCTCTTAGAGCAGAAAACATCTGTACTCTTAAAACTGTGGTTATGCTTTGCTTGATTCTACAGATCAGTTAACGTTTAAGCACTTCTTAGCAGAATAGAATATTCCCTCAACACAGTAAAGACTTCTTTCCTCATGGCAGACCTTGCTTTCCACCTGTTTCAGTTGCTATTTTGACAAAATTATTTTACTAGAATCAAAATACAAATAATCACTCTAGGAAGAATCAGTCATCCTGTCTCCTTTTACAAAAAAAAAAAAAAAAAAAAAAGACATATCCCTGATATATATTGAGATAGATATAGATCTATGTTGTTCTGCCACTGTCTGCTGGGGTTTTTTTTTTCAACAGTATGAACTGTTCTGTACATCTGAATGGGGCTGAAATTTGTTTACAGTCACTTAATGTAGAATTTAGTGGTTGGACTGGATGATCTTCAAGGTCTTTTCCAACCTAGATGATTCTGTGATTTGAAGTCACCCTGCGTTACTTGCAGATTTCTTCACATATTTTATCTGAATTGTGCTTGTGTTTTGTCAATTACAGATTTTAAAGGTGATCACTTGCATGACTTGCCAAATAATTTAATTCTGAAAATCAAGGTGTATCTTTCCTAAGACTGTATTTAGAGCGTTTTTTTAAAAAGTTTCACATAAAATGTGGTGCTTTGCATTTTTAAGTCTTTTGACCATTTTCCTAGAAGGAGGTCTTATTATCAGATGGTGGATAAAATCTTTTCTAATGTGAGTGGTTTTAGTAATTCTCATGGAGAATAGCTTCTGAATCTGCAACAGCAGAAGAAAAAGAAGTCCGGAAGAGCTCTCTTCTAGGTAATTCTAGATGTACGGGTTTGTATATTCTTATTTTAAAGTTCTTTCCCCCCTAATTGCTTTTATCCAGGTTTTCCTATAGATGAATTAAAAATGTTCATTTGTACCATCCCATCCCCCTGGCTTCAAATGTTTGTCGCAGAAGCAGTTTTTAAAAAAATGTGTTTTCGGAGAAATATAACTATTTCTACAGAACCTCTTTCTCTTCAGAAGATAGTAAGTAACTCCTATCACAACTAAGTATTTTACAAGTAATTGCATTAATGAAAGTCTTGGAAAAGATCTTTCTTTTTGTGGTCTGAGCTCATGCTTGTTGCATCCGTTGTCTTCCACCTGTAGATAGACTCTACTGCATTTAAATTTCTCTTTGCCCAAGATCTGGGCTCAGACCAATGGTAAGATTTTTGAAAAGGTGACAGTCTATTATTCTACTGGGCCCAAGCATTTGTTATATACAAGATTTTATGATTTTGGACCACAGTCTATTCCTGTGAATTTCTCCTCTTAAAAACTTTCCCCTACTTGCAAACCTTTTCCTGCCTTCAGATCGCAATTTGTGATAGTTGGTGAGGAAATACATGATGAAAGCTGTGAAAGAAATTCTCAAAACCACGGCTGCTGGCAGGATGCAGGCAAATCAGGGAGATCTCACAGTAATGACATGCCCTAGCTTAGAGCTTCATTTCAGTAATCTTAACACCAACGACTAAACAGAATATAGAATATAGAATCCATAACTGTTTCTGTATGTCCTAAAATTCTACAGGTAGAGTTGAAGGAAAACAAATTTACACCTTTATACATTTTCCATACATAAGTTTTCCTGAATTTTACAGGAGTTTGTTGTGAACAGAGATCATTGTTTATTAATACGTCGTGTTTAAACAGAGCTCGAACAAAAGACTGTCAGAATTTTAAAAGTAAACCAACTATATATCTAATATTTAATGTATGTTGCCAACACACATGCAGCAGCAATTGCTATTTTTAGTATTGCCATGACTACTGATCACTCTCTGCAACTACTTAAATGTAAATTTTTGTGGTGCTTGAAACAAGCTCATGTGCTTTTTGTGGCTTTCCTTAACATTACTGTGCCTTGTTTCTCGTTCCGTACAATAAATATTAACTATCATCCAATTTTGCCTGCTCTTTTCATGCAGCATCTTATCGGCTAGGCTGCTCTATGGGTTCAAATAGTGGTCTCCCACTCTCTGGTGGTAAATGCACAGTGGAGGTTGCAAGTAAGGTTTCCCTCACCCATTGCATGTTGCCTGCAGAATCTACATTGGTATCCTCTAGATACTCACAGCCTTCTTTAATATCTTTCTTCAGATACAATCATTGTGTAACCACTGAATGAGTCCCCTCACTGGGCTTTTGCCTATGCTTCTGCCAAACTGCAGAAACTTATATGACTTTTTAAAATGAGCAGTATAGGTGGGTTAGAAGGTCTGTATTACTCAAAAGAAGCCAAAATACCTACAACATCCAAACCCCCTCTGATAATGAGAGAGCACCTAAGAGATAACTAGCTTATTGCCTTCGCAAGGTGCAAAGGCTTAATGCAACACATCATCTTAGAAGAGATGAAGGAGGAGGGTGAGTATTTCTTTACCAAATTGCTCTCTGGGTTGGGAACAGGAAGCCTTTAAATACTTTCATTAAGGGCCTGAGAATCAGTTAGCTTTACTTCAGTTTTATGTCCAGCTAAAGGGATCAAAATTTTCTCAGCTACCAAAAACCCAAGAGAGAGGTCTTAGAATCTCCCACTTTCTGGCTCAGACACAATCCACTCACCTCTGAGGCCATCAGAAAGAGTGAATTACAAGAACATAAAAAAATATTGCAGAAGACAACTTTAAACAATCTATATATGCAGTCATTTAAGGATCATATTTTTAAAAACTTAGATACAGCAAGCTGGGGGTGGTGGATGACTGCTTTGCATGAAGTGCAACAGAAGAAAATGACTGCATTTTAATTTACTGTATACAAAGTCATTGAAAATGTTCCTTTTGCAACAGGTCTGTTCCTATTCATCTGCTTTGCGAGAGATAGGGATGCATGAGAAAAGAAAGATAGACAAAGCAATGGAAAAGAAAACAGGACAATGGCTGTGCCCTGAGTCTGAGTCTCAAAGTGTATTACAGATGCCAAATGGCAATAAGCAGAACCAAGTCAAAGTGCTGCCTGATCTACCGTAAGTAATACCTATAACATCACCAGTTTTATTCTGCTTTGGGGGACAGCTTCTGACCCAACACATTTCTTGAACTTTATATGACCCATTTTGTTGTCTGCAAATTACTGCAGCTGACAGAAGGCTCCATCGTAAACCTGTAACACCTCTGGGCTGGGGTTCCCCCTTTCTCCCCATCCTCCCTCTCAGTGTATATGCAGGCTGATGCAGTTATATTTTCCCAGTATTAGATTTAAAGGGTACTTAGAGAAGTTGAACCATTCATAGAATTACCTTTAAAGAAAGTTTAATTGTGGGTAATTTAATTTTATTACTGTTTTAAATACAGTTATAATTAAATGACATAGAAATTATGTAATTAAGACATTTCAGAAATAACTCTGAAATGGATAGATCTAAGTATGCTGTATATACACATTTAAAAGCATTAAGTACATATTCATTATCTTAAAATACGAAATCGTGATTTCAGATGTGTCACCTTTGCTCTCTTTTCAGTGACTTAAGCTTTAATAAGCGCTCTTCATTCATGAAGCTTAGACCAAAACCAAAAGTTGAGGCTGCATGTGGCAAAAAGAATTGCCACCTTTTGCCTGAAGACACACATTTTTGCAGGAGAAGTGTTAAAGGTATTCTATGTATCTAATTTATGTTAAGAACTCTATACGGTTAGAATCTACAGTGTCAGGTTCAAAAATCTTGTCCTGATGAATGCTGAACTAAAATGATGGGCTTATGCCAAAGAATTATTTTCTTATGGTCCGTGTTTCTTTTTCCCAATGCCTATTTAAAAGGAAGAATTGTATATATGGTGGAATAAAGCTGCCTTCTTCATTCCCCTCCCCCTCCCAGATATTAAATACAGTGTACAGCTTGTGTGAGCTCATTCCAGTCTTGCCTGCCTTACTTTGCTAATCCACCTCAACCTGTGCTTGGTAGGATCAACGTCTTCTGATTTGAAAGTATAATTCAGTCTTCATCTCTTTCAGTCCTAGACATTTTGTGAACAAAGACTGAGGAGTATGCTATGTTACATAGCTGTGTTAAGCATATGGACTGTTTTCTTCCAGGCATTCAGCCCAGACTATGAAAGGCATTTGGCTTTTGTCTTAGCTATACTGGAACCCAAGTACCTAAGGAATAAAACAGCACTTCAGTAATTCATTCAGTTCCTACTTATTGCACAAATTTAATAAATCGTACTTTAGACGAGCCTTTACCTGAAGAGAGTTACTTGCTGGAACTACTTTTTGTCATCTTCATCATCAGAAATTTACCTATGTCACTTAAAACACAACTATATTAGCATGACACCCCGGAGAAAGCTTAGAAAAAACTGCAAAAGCAAGCTGGGATTGTTCAAAAAATTAAAACCAGAATTGTATCACAAATACTGAAGGACAAAAAAAACGTCACCGTCTTTTGGGATTTAAGAGAGCTTCAGTAACAGAGCCAGACCATGCATTTTTAAAATTGGTTCCCTTTCTCTTTATTGCTTTTGCAAGTAAAATTGATGTGAATTATTACATGCTGACTTCTACAAAGGAAAGAGCTGAAGGACTAGGGGGAGAAAAAAATTGCTTTTTTTCTATTCTTCCCCTGCCAAAATTGTAAGTAGTATCTTCTGTTGAAAGAATGAGTATGGAGCTGACAGATTTACATAGTGAAGGTATTAATATAACAAAATATACCATGTAAATCTTATCGCAAAGGCTGAGAGATTTAGCCTGAGATATTTTTCATTTCTAAGATGTTTGTTGCATCATCTTTCACCTGGCATCAAGATTTTCCTCTGGCTGTTGCTCAGACCTAATCATTTAGTGAAAGTAAACCCGTGTTTAGAATGGGTCTGAAGTTTCTATCATGCAGAAACTAATGGTGTCTTTACGTATAAGCAGCAGTTCTCAGTTGCTTGCTGTTCAATTTTTCACACTTACTTCAGCTTTACACGACACTAAGGCTTGGGATTTTTTGTTTCCAGAGGATTTACTACTACTATTATTATTCTTATTGTTGTTGTTGTTTTTATTATTATTATTATTATTATTATTATTATTATTATTATTATTATTATTATTATTATTATTATTATTATTATTATTTATTTTGACCCCTTCATTCTCTTTCCCCCCTCCATTGCTACTGTAGCCAAGTCAGACAGCCTATTGAGAAACAGCAAACCATCTGTTAACGGATTTGAAGTTCTGAATTATAGTTGAGTGTGTAGAGGCACTCGTGCCTAGCCAGAAACATTCATTTGAATTAAGCTATAAATGCTGTGTAAAAAGAACCATACATTTTAACGTAGGTTCATGAATAAATTTAAGGGAGGGCAACTGCACTCTAAAGTTTTATTGCTTCAAAACCCAGTATTTTTGGTGTTCTGTGATCACTTGGTGCTTTTATAGTGTGATTGAAGCTTTAAACCTTGAACTGGGGGGAGATAATTCCTGTGTTAAACCGTTTGCAATACAATTTCATTGCTGGATCTCTGGTGGAACAGAAGCTCTGTGGGTTTTTTTGAATTTTCTTAAAAGATGGTTAAACAGGATAAAGGAAAATCTTACTCATTATTGAATTTTCTGGCGTATAGCCAGGTCTCCTAGTTCCAGGCACTTTGATTATTTTCTTTAGTTGATATCTTGCCTAGTCTAGTGTAATCTATTAATTTTTTATGGTAGGAGAGACAGCCCTGCATAAAGCTTGCATAAGTAACAAAGTGGAGAGATTGATTCAGCTTCTCTCTATCCCTGGAACAGACATTAATGCTAAAGGTAAGTTACTCATTTTCTCTACAGAACTAAGAATTTAAGCCAGATAAAGAACTGTATTAATACCTGTTTGGCAATAAAGTTTGTATTTATGCTATGAAAGCTGTATAATTTTATACAACACAAAATTAGGACTTTATAGCAAACATTGAGGAAGGGTTAATTCGTAACTAAAGTGTGTTCTAAAATCACGTTTTCTATGGATTTTTTAAAAATGCTATTTAGTTTTTTTCAGATGTTTTTAGAATAGAATTTCTTGTTTTGAATTCAGAAGCTGCCGCTGTCCCCTGACGAATACTAAAAAATACAGTGTTTTGCTGTCTGATGAATTACATTATTAACGTTTTAGTACTACTTCTGCTATTTTAAAACTTCCCTTGATTTATAATTCAGACGATGATGGCTGGACGCCTTTGCATGAAGCCTGTAACCATGGCAGCACAGTGTGTGTCCGTGAAATTTTGCAACGTTGTCCAGAGGTAGACCTGCTCACTCAAGTGGACGGGGCGACTCCTTTGCATGATGCACTGTCAAATGGACATGTAGAAATTGGCAAGCTGCTACTTCAGCGTGGGGGTGAGTGCATTTATGCTAAACTGGTTTAGGGAAATTATCCACTGTTCCGAGCCCATATGAAGTTCGTGGTGTTTTTCTTAATGGTTGCTTAAAATACAATGTTATTTTGAAATATTTATTTTAAAACATTTTTAAGCCAAGCTGTTTTGGTCACAATAAAAATAATACTGTTTTCACACTTATCTTGATCAGCTGAATATGAAATTAACCAGGATTTTCACATTTTTTTCCAATATGGTAATGTTTTTATTCTGCATTTTACACCATATGCATTGTAACTATATTCTCCAAACTCATTAATGAAGATAAAGATTACCTAGTCACCAAGCAAAGCTAAGGATTTTCTTTTGTTTGGATCTATTTTTACCACGATGCAAAAATAGATCAGTAAATCTCTATATAGTCGTGTATTTCAACATAATTTTGTTCAGCATTTATGAAAATTAATGTGATGGTCTTTGAAGAACACAATTAGCTTGGTAATTAGTTTAAGAAAGGAATCTATATTGTAATCGCGATAACTGCTGTTTAGGGATAATAGTGGGAGGGATGCCTGAGTTTCTAAAAAAAGATACATTGCCCCTTAGGCAGACACATGATAAATGTTTTGAACAATATTTTTTTGTTCAGTGACAGAGAACTTGTATCTTGTCTTGAAATGTACAGTATCAATGTAATTAACTTAGCATGGCTTTTTTTTAAAAGCAACTGCAAAGAATGGTCTTGGGTATCAACTCTTCCTTCTTTTAATTCATTTGCTAAAACGAGTCTTTTCGATATCCTTACCACCGGCCTACTGTGTCAGTTTAATTTCTGCGCACTATATGCCGAGTCCAGATTTTTTCAATAAAATTTTCATTCTGCGTGTAGCCACGAGGCAGAAGAGTGCACTGTATTTAGATGGCCTATTACTTAATTAAGGTAGAGAAACAAAATTTTATTTCATTCTTGGCATAAGACCCTCTGTATTTACAGTCTTCTCCTGCCCCCTAAAGGCTATTTCTGTGTCTGTTGTGCAGGCTCCGGCTGGCAATCAATACGTTTCTCTGCAGTCCTACCTCAGTGTTTGCTGAGCTTTGGTTCTGTGGCTCCCAGGTGTTTTATATATCTCCCGAGCCGTGTATCTGACATGCCAAGCCAATACCTGGGCTCAGTTCAATCGGTCTAAGTGATGCAATAGCCAATATCGTAGTAAGCCCAGCTCCTCAATTGGAAATGGCATCGCGCTGACAGATGTGCATTTTTCCTTGGCTATTGTGAAGAATAGGTAGTGGATGATCCTCTTGTCCTAGGGGAAGAGCTCTACTTGCACTTGCATTCATCAAGGTTTTCTGGCAACTATAAGGCTGCGTGTACCCTTATCTTTGCCTTTGTCACACTCTGGGTTTTGGCCTGTCAAACAGCTGACAGGACCGTGGTAGGAAGCATGTTACCCGTTCAGTGTGGATTTACTCAGCTCAATAATTCCCAACACATCTCCACCAAAACTTTTTTCACTTTTCCCTCTCTAGAAAACCTTCAGCTTGCAAAATTTAATTATATTGCTTAATCAGTGATGGAGTAAAGCAACACAGCTTTAGTCACAGCAAAGTGAAAACCTCTAGTATCGATATGTAATGTGGTGAATTAACTTTTGTAATTAAAATATATTTCTGAAAATGTATTCCACTTAAAATGGCATCATTACTTCAGCATTCTAACCCGAATTTACGTAACAAGTTTCCTGATGCATTCAAAACACCACCTGCGGTGTGTTAACTGCCTTCATTTTTTCTTACTGTTGTGGCAGTTCTTAAACTTATCAAGGTGCCTGAAAACTGTTTAAATATTAATAGCTCCATTGTACTAATAAATGAGAAATACCAAGAGAATGTAGTATCATCAGAACCAGTAAAACGTGTCCCATTTACTTACTTTAAACCTATTTATTAGTTACCTTTTGTGTTTCAGAAGCCTGTTAAGATCAAATTTTGAAACTCAGCTGTTGGGGGAGACTAGGACTCCTACCTCAGTGGTTCACCTTGCCACATAGTCCGGGACAAGGTTGGTCACACCATCCAGAAAAGTAAAATAAAGACCATCATAGTAATGTGCCTTTAATCTGGAGTCAGTGTCAGTAAAGAACCTGGTTTATAAAATACGTAGTAGAATTTTACAGCAGTAATAACATTACATTTTTACATACTTTCTATATTGTCACTTGAAACTTTAGGATAGGCAATATTTGAATTACTTCCCATGTCTATATAATAATTGGTTGTCAACCTAGGAAAACTGGGAAGAAAATTAAGACAGTATCATAAAGGAACTTATACAGGGTCTGCCTGCATGTTCTAGATTGCACCGCAAATGTGTAACTCATCAGTTAAATCAACACAACTTAGTACGAAAATGAACTTAAACAGATGCCTAGCTTCTGGCAAAAAGCAAACCAAAATCTTGCTTGGCTGCCAAATTGAATGTGCTGTTATTATTAATGTTTATATTTTCCCTGCAGGACCAGTCCTTCTACAGCAGAGGGACTCCCATGGAAAATCGCCACTGGATTATGTTGAGTCCACAGCAGTAAAGCAAGAACTTTTGAACATTATTCATCTGGAAGAGAGCACTGAAAGCTTCTGTGAACACACAGAAGAAGATTTCCGTCAGCAGGGAGAACTGTGGTTGATTTTATTTAGTAAGATGCTGCTGAATTTTTGTTCAGTTTACAATCTGTTTTCACCCTTTACTTTAACTCTCAGAGAAGTAGCTTGTTCAAATGTACTTTCAGTAATGGCACGTGATAACTGTAAGATGAAAAATGCATTTTCTGCAGATTGGTTAGTAGGTACATATTTTAGAGAGCTTGAAACTTTTCAAAAGCTACCACAGTTTCTTCCAGAAATATCTGCAAACGCAGGTTTTTTCCCTGGAGAACAGATGAAGGCTTTATTAGCAACTCTGAATACTATGGTAGAGGCATATCAGCTCTTTACTTAAATCTTTGTAACAGTTACCTCCCAAACAAGCTGCATTGTTTGAATCTTGGCTGTTAACCCTTGTTATTGGGATAACTTTTTTTTCCAGCGACCAAAGAGTACAAATTTCACAGCCCTACACAAGTCCTCATGTTAGTATCTGCCTTGTTGTTGATACTTCCCTCTGCTAGAACCCCAGATCAGATGCATTGATTCAGTGCAATTTTTAAGTAGAATTTTTCCAATACCAGTGCCTTCTAGTTGTCTGACAGATCTGGAAGCCCTTGACCACCTCAGGAGGGTGCTATGTCATCTACACTATGTTAAACTTTGTATTTTCTATCCTGGAAATCTTTGCTACCTGCTTTACTCCATAGTTCTCTTTTTTGTTTCCAGAGGTAGTGACCCAAAAGTAAAACAGCAAGCCGTTTTTCCTAGAGAAAGGCTTGTTGCCCACATATGTAAATATCCTTTCATAAAACTGATAGTATAAATATGTCATTAAACAAAAACATATGGAAAAGCAAATACCTTCTAATTTTTCTTATTTATCCTTGTCCTGTAAAAATTAACAGTATGTTGTGTAAATTAATTACATTGTGTAAAACACAAACCAGAATATAGGTAGATTATAGACTATATTTATAGAAGGAATCAGTCTACCAACATGTCCCATGTCTTTGTTAGTTAGAAACGGTCACACAAAGGCACATGGAAAACCTTTTTCTCCTGCCTCAGCACCGTGGCGCTCATGGCTGCGTCTGTGTGCGCAGTGCCCGCCTCGAGGAGACCGGCCCGGATACATGGGTGGTTTGCAGAACTCCAGTGGGTGCCACCAACCAGGGCTTTCAGACAGTTCCTTGGACAGGGATGCTGCTGCGAAGGGCCACATCCACCCCTCACAGCGTCCTTGTCTCTGCTCTGGTGCGTGTTGGCTTGCGGTGGTTTGATAAATCCGTTATGCTGGTGGTGTATAAAATGATCTGGTAACACTCCTGAGAGTCCCTCAACTAAAGATGCGGGTGGAAGCTGTGGCACAAATCTAGTTATGTTGGCAGGGGAATTCACAAAGGATTAGATAAGACAGTTTAAGTATGTACTGGGCATCAGATTCTGACACTAAGTATGGATCTCCTTAAAAATTATACCCCATTTTAATGTGAGAATGTTGTTCTCCATTCTGTGAATACATGCAAACTACGCATAATAATAAATCCTCTAAACTAATCCACTAACCTAATTCAGAATTGTGTGCTACATATTCTATCAGATGGTCCTTTTAATTAGTTAAGAAAAAGTGAAAATCCCGGGCTGTCCTTTACAGGTTTTGGGGCTCGTAAAGGCAGCCAGACTACATTGTGGTGCTGCATGGGGTCATGGATGCGGAATTGTTACTCAGGTGGTTTGGAGAGCCCTTGTGGGTTTACACAGCGACAACTACAAATCCTGCCTTACGCCTTTGTAGAGGTCCAGCACCAAATTCATTCCAGGCTTGGGTCTGGGAATGTGAGAGACACTTCTAAGGGAAGTTTATCCCTTCCCCTCCACCCCGTGACTACAGCCGTGATTCGGCTGGTTTCCTTGAAGTGGTGGTGCAGTCACCTCTTGCCTCCAAGGTTAAAAGTGAGTGTGGTCCCGGTGAGTCTCCATACTCCTTGTGGACTGTCATCCCTAGATGGTTATACAATCCAATCTTAAAAAAACTAATCATATAATGTATTACAATCAAAATTGAAGAAAGCTGGTTAACCATTCTAACAAGGAAGATTCAAACATGTCCAATTAACTAATTAATACTTAATATAGCAACAATTGTCTCAAGTCTCTTGCCACTTTCTTCATTTGTTGACCTAAAGTGGCATTAACACAACACCACCAAGTTCAGTCCCATTCTGAGCGCTGCCCATTTCACAAGGTTCATTCACCATCGCGTTGCCATCGGAGTCTGGATTGTCCGTAGGAATCACCATCCCCAGTGCCAGTCAGGATGCCAAAGTCATCTGTTCTTTGAAGATCCTAACAAAAACCAGAACTAGGCCTTGGATCAGAACCCGGGCATCAAGTTAAAAATTATAATTAAAAATTATCCATCAGGCACTAATAGGGTGAGGTTTTCCACCTTCCCCTAAGGCTTCCCGTTAGCCTGAGGACGGGATGGGGGGTTCAAACCCCCTGTACTCCTCGTGTGCCCACTCCTGGGCCACCCCGGCAGGGAAGTGGCTCCTGTTCCCCAATTAAATGGATTTGGGCGTTCCCTCCTCTGCCTGCTGGGGGTGGCAGGAATGATCTCTCCGCATTCCTCAGCAGTTTCTCACTGCCCGACTCCCGACGGAGGGGGGATTCTAGACATGTTAACCCGTTCTCTAGGCGTGGCTTTCGCACACTTTTCAGCCAGAGCCCCGCAAGCCCCTGTCGGGCCACTGGCCCCGTGAAGACACGCGAATGGAAATGGTGGCTTCCCCCGGGCAGCAAAGCCATCGCTGTTGGCTCCTGCACAGGAAGGGCCCAGAGCCCGTCCTGGGCTGACGGGCCGCTCCCACGGGGCCCAGTCCAGCCCAGCCGCGGGCGGGATGGGCATTCAGCCATAATCGGCTGCTAACTGCCGCCTTCTGTGAGGTTGGGGGCTGGCCACACCACAGAATTACCAGGGGAATGCGTACAATTTATGATCTTTTTTCAATATCATCAGTCACCTCAAAAATACTGTTGGGCAGCAGTTGGCAGTGGGTACCGAGAGACACTTCTGTCCCCCTAACTCCACAACTCCACACTCCGCCATCTGGTAAATACCACTGTTTACCTGCCAGAACATCAAGACCTGGTATTTTCCCTTTGTTCCCCAGTTCTCCCCTCCAGCAACTGCACCAGCTTCGAGATGTGACCAGGAGGCTGCCCATGGACTATCGCCCGGGTACCCCAGTGCCCACGCCTCCCGCCGAAGAGGATTCCTGCCCCAACCATCGAACCGACCTCACTCACCCCAGGGCGGTGTAAACTCTCTACGAGGGAGCTGCTCAGGGGACAGTTTACAACTGACTTGCCAAATCCGGCTTTTATCTTCACGCCCACCCCGGGTCAGTCCAACCCATCTCTCACACTTTTGCCCATGTTAACACCTGCACACGAGGGGCAGGGAGGGAGGGGGTCACATTCAACAGCTCTTTGCACCCTTTCTCTGAGGGACTGGATGTGGATCTTTAAGGCACCCGGGAGCCCTCTAATGATAACTCTAAGGGGGCTGGGATCCAACATAATTTTATTTTTGTTTTTTCCAACATAATTTCAATTTTTTTTCTAATAACCGCCTCCTTCTCTCTCTTTCTTGTATCAATTCTGTCACCGAACCACAGAGCCATTCAGGTTGGAAAAGCCCCTCGGGGTCATCGAGTCCAACCCTCAGCCCGACTCTACAAAGTTCTCCCCTACCCCACATCCCCCCCCCAGCTTATCCCAATGGCCCTTAAACACCCCCAGGGATGGGGACTCCCCCCTCCCTGGGCAGCCTAACAAAGGTCTTCAAACAATTTCCAACCACTTCTCAGACTTCTTTTTCTCCACTACTACAAAATAATCCTGCCCCTGAATCAAGCGCGCACCTAAAATGGTGCACATTTGTCCTCCACTTCTGCCATTCCACCAACTCCCCCGGCTTTGTTCCAGCTTCCTCACAACTGCCACCGGATCAGACCACTTCTCCTTCACCTGTTGTACATCTGGGGGAGAAGGAATACAACTAGAGTTCTGTAGAAACTCCATCAACATCCTGCCGACTACACCGATTTGTTACGGGGGCTCTCAGATAAACAACCACCAAAAATTAAAAATTTATTGTCAACACAATTAACTAACCCTCCGCTAATTACAGGTTCGAATGTCTGTGAGAGGAGAACAGAACAACTTCCTAGGGTTTAACGGCAAACCAAAACACAGAACAAATCCCCACTCCCCAAAGGACAACCCAAACCGTTTTCTCATTCACCTGACAAGTGAGGGCTCTCAACCTGCAGGACCCGCTCAGGGCAGCGTCCTGACCCAGGGCACCTTGAGGAGTTTCCTTGGGCAGCATCCTGACCCCAGGAGAGAGTCCTCAACCACAGCTGCGGCTCCAGGGAACGAGCTCCAAACGTCTCCCCCAGGGGACTCCATTGACACCCAGGACCAATCTGACCTGGAGCCAATAGCGGCTCTCTTTGCCCAAAGGGCCCAACTGCCATCCCAGGAGCAGCTACACTTCAGCAGCCAAGACGCCAAATTTTCACGGGGGGGGATGTGAGAGACTGAAATATCTGATGACTGTCTCAAAGCTTGTGTCTGTGCAAACCCCCAGGAGAAGCTGCTGCGGCCTGTGAATTGGTCCAGGGGATGCTGCCCAGAGCACCGGGACTGTGTTGAAGGATGCACTCTCTGCTTCTCTTCAGTTGCGGACTCTTTACATAAGCCTCAAAGGGGCAGACACAGACTGAGCTGGCCCCATCCTGGAACCGTTTGTGGCTCTGTTGTGAAGGGCAGACCTCATGCACGCATTTGCTAATGACCTGACAAGAGGCAAATGTTCCTGTCCTGAAGCCGGATGCAACAAAACCTGTTGGACCAGAGGGAAAAAAACTAAAGGCGAGCAGATCTGCTGATCAGCTGGTACGATGAACTTAAAAAGGCAGCAGAAAATCTTGCTCTGTGTGCATCCACCATCAAAGCCAGACCCGTGTGCCCCCACCACCAAAGAACTGAAGGCTGAAGACCAACAGGACACCGCTGGATCCATCGTGTTGACTATTCTCACAGCCCTATCCCGCATCCTTGCTTCATTTCTCCCCTTTCCTTCTATTCTGTCCTATCGCTGCCCCTCTTCACTTTTTTTAATAATAAAAACCTATTTTGGGTGTACGGCATCTGACCTCGTTTGTGTCTTAATCTCACTCTTGGGATCGTATCGAAACCTCCCCCGACATTGGATCGGGACGGGGGGACCTGCCACAGGAGGGGAAGGGAGCGCTGCTTTAAAATGAGGATACCTGATTTTTTTTTTTTTTATAACAAATTCAGTAATAGATCAGGAGCAATTTAATATCTTAGCCTTCAGAAGGAAGGTACTAATTAGCAACGTTTCCAATTCCAATTCTTCTGCAATAGCAATTTATAATATTAAAGAAAGAACCCTAAAAGAAAGGGTGTGGATAATAGCTGCTTCTGAAATTGATGTTGCTTGACTAGAGGGAGTAAGTTACACTGATGCAGCTGGCTTGTAGCACATTAAAACTTCCATTTAGCCTTTCTGCAGCTGAGATAGATGATCTCACAGCAATCCACCGAAGACGCTCAGACTGAGTTGGTCGTGGAACCAGACCCTCATTACAAATGTTCAGTGCTTATTAATGACCAATTATTATTTTTACACATGACGCAGAGCAGTCTGCTCGAGTAGAATGAAGGGTCAGCACCTGTTGGATTTGCTTCTGTTTGCGCAGGGTTTATTTTTCTCTAGTAAGAAAGCAACAACAACAACAAAAACTTTGTCATATATACAAAATGGACTAATAAACATCAGTATTCCCTGTTGCAGGACGTGATGAAAGCAACGCTACGCACATACTTTATAAAGAAGGCAAACCACACATTTAATTTGGCAATAATAACATTTTCTTTAGTCATGAATTTGATCGTAAATGGGAATTTGAAGTAATTGGGACGTGGAGAATCACAGAAAAAAAGTATTGTGGTGGATCTGGAAAAGCAAATGCTTTGGAATATTCATATCTCCCAATATAATACATTAGTGACTGAAATGAAAGCAGGAAACGGGTTATTTTGGTCTAATAGAGTGATTCTGTTTATATATCCAAGACATCCCCTCAATTATTTGCTATTTTGTCATTTAGACAGGAAAAAAAAAAAAGCACTCTAAGTCCTACTTACCTATTTAAACTAATTTAAGTACATCCTTCCAAGATACTGTAAAGAGAAGTAGATAACATACGCTAAATGAACATTATTAACATTGCAAAATGAAGCATTCGGAAGTTAGCAAATGTCTGAATTAATATTCCACATGTAGCCCCAACTTAAATATTGTCTGTGTGCATTGTCAGTCTTTAATTATATGGTGACACAATTTTGTTCTCAGTTTAAGGATCAGATACGGAAAATTTTCCTGTTATTTCCCAGTTATGCTCCTAACAGAGTTCAGTTTTATAC